CGGGTATCCTCTGCGGCGCGGGGAGATGGGGCTCTGCGTCGTCCCAGCTCGGTACCGCGCTGGGCCCCGGCGCCTCAGCTCTGGCACCCGCTGTCATTAGCAGAGAGCGGAGAGCAAGGAGTAGCTGGGTGTTGTGGAAACGAGGCTCGCTCTTTTGAGTTGTGTCAAAGCTGCCCGCTGATACCTCACGTGTCCCCTAAAATACTCGCTTTAAGCGTTTTTTGTTCTTTTTAGGGATAAAGAAAGAAAGATCCCTCGGGAAAGCATCCCTCCTTATTTTGGAACATAGGAGAGGAGCTAGAGAAGTTCAAAGTGTCTGGGGTACTGGACTCCACAGGTTTAGTGAATGATAAGTTAAAAGTTGGGGATAGAAGAGCAACAAGCACTTGTTTCGTAAGCGCTCCTCTGAAACAGCTCCAATGTCCTGACTTTCCATGCATGCTACAATGACTTCCCTTCTCAGCTGATGATGGCACAAATTTTGCTTTATTGCTTTATTCTCTTTTGTTTCGTGGGAGTTGGCTGTGGTAATTGGTTTGGATAATACTTCAAACAGATGGCAGGGTTATGTCACGTGTATCGCCAACACTTTTTTTCATGTTGCAAAAGCAAAATATTTTTTGAAGTTTAAAATATTTCCCCAGTTTCCAAGGAATTTGGTGATTGGAAATTACTTGCTTCATTGTTCAAAAAGTTTCTGTTGGGGGTGTTGTGAGGGCTTCCCGAAAAATTTAGATTAATGAGATATCAGGATAATGACCTGTGTGAAAGGGGAATAATAACGAAAGCAACAAGGGGGAGAGGGAATAAATAGAAGTGCCAGGAAAGAGAGGAGAAAATGTGAGGGGAGGGTCACCAACCTTTTCATTTGGCTTGTACATTTATTAATATTCCACAATGATGTTCCTTAACAGTCTTTCGTTCTCAGAGTGCTTGGTGGGCACTCTGACTGAAGTGAACCAGAAAATTGTTTACTTGGAACAAGAATTTGAAAGATACCACAATGCCAATACGGTGACTATAGACAAGGAAAATCTCCAGTGCTGGAGTGTCTTCTAATAGTCTAGTTAAACGATATGAATCTTCCTGGACGAGTGCTGCACAAAGAGTGGCCCCATGTACTAGAATATATGCCCTTCTGACCTCATGTATTAAAATCTGTGCACTGGAAGTACATCATTTTTATAAGGGAAGGGGTTACAGTAGAAATCTTAAAATTAGAGCAAAAACCTTGCAGCTCTAAATAGAGGTTTTGTGCGGTTGTGGCTCTTATCAGCATTTATGTGCACACACAGATATGGATATATTGGATAAGGAAGATAAAAACGATCGATGGCCAGAAATGAAATGAGGGCAAGAACCCTGGAAGAAAAATTGGGATAATATGGACTTAGGGTTTTGAACTGAAAAAACTGTAGCTAACCTAAGTGTTTTTGAGGGTCAAAGACCATACATGACTGAGGAACTGAGCTCTTAATGCTCATTTTCTTTTTTTTTTCTCTTTACTGTTGTTAAAGGCATTGAAACACCTTGAGTTTTCAAAGAGATATTCAGAGCAGAAGAGCTCCAGACAAGAGAAGAAATTTCCTGAGACATGCAAAGACAAAGGCACGTATATTTTCTATATAAATATGTCAAAGGTTTCTTACTGAGAAAAAGAACAGGCATTAAGGACCTCTGGTCAGGACATACCCTGCCAGTTACATACGGGTATTAATGTTCACCTTCCTAGAGGACTCCTGTATTATATTTTCTGATGCCTAGTTCCAAATTGGAATAAACCAGCAGCATCTGTGTATTCTGCATAGTTGTGCGCTTGAGTTCTCCTTGCAGTAAGCAGGATAAGTACTGTAGTAGTACATTACAGTATTGTAAAACTAACCTGTGTCATTTATTCAGGGTCTCACAGTGAATTTGTGACAAAGCCAGAGGCACAGCTTCGTCACTTTGCGTGTCAACCATGAGACCATCTTTGTTCCATGTGTTGCTGGAAGCATAGTTCTCCTGAGTAGTATAAGCATAGTTATTATTTATCATATAATCTTGATGTTGTATTAATTTTGCTATTTAATTCTGCCTGGAGAAGCTTTGAGGGGAAAAACTGATTACTATACCGTGAGATGTCAAAACCTAGTGGCTTATACAACTGTCATAAATAATCAAGTACTGTATACAAGTTGTACGCTGAAGTACCAGGTTAGGTCACTTTAGCAAAGATCTTTCCTATGTCCTTGTTTGTTTGTTTATCTTTTAATAATAAGAGACTGGGGAGTTCTGTGTTCCGCCCACTTTTTCTTAATTGCTCCCTGCTATATGTCAAAATAGGCACGTGACATAGCAGAATGGGGACTATGCCTTATTTGTGATTGATCTGAATTTGCTCTCTAATGTGTTCTGCTGTGTCTTCAGTATCTTCAGTCTTCTTTCTCTCTGCAGATAAAGGCAGAAGGGAGATATGTGGCTTCATGCAGAAGTATGGCCGCCCTCCACAAGAGTCAGATGATGACATGCCGCCTCAGGTCAGGTTCACTTCACAAGTGGTAAACTTGTCTTTAAGAGGAGACAGAATCCTTCCCCCTCTTTATGTACATGATGCATCTCTTGGAAAAATTCTGAGTCCAGTTTTCTTGAATACTGGGAGACATGTTGGAGACAACTGAGGCCTAAGCTTTGTTTTTGGAGATGGGTTTATAAGATGCAAGAACTGCTAACCTGTATCAGCTCATTGACTGCCAAGCGATCTGCTCGTTAGCAATCTGATAAGATGTGATAGATGACTAATGCATCTGTTTCCTTCCATATGCATTCCAGAGATTAATAGTACTTTATGCTCTTAGAAAGGGCATTTTATGTTAAGTTTTACTGTCACTTATTTCACAAGTCTCATCAAGAGTCTTGTTGCAGGACACAGAAGAAAGATTATGTATTATTGGGACTTGTTGGAAATTGTCATGTTTTCCTTTTTGTGTCATTTCTTTCTTTCCCTTACCATGCCACTCCCAAAAATGCCAGAGTACTTCAGAAGAGGGCACAGTGGAAATGTACCAATATCCAGGATACAATAAGCATAAACTGACACCACTACCAAATGGGATAGAGCTTACAGATGTTGTGGAGAAAACAGTGCGTGCCCAGGGAAAGTCATCAAGCGGAAAGGTAAATTTATGACTTGGAAAAAGCCAGGCAGCCTGTCCCCACTGCTTTGGCATGTGACATGAATGCATACTTGTATATGCCTGATTGCTGCACACACAAATGCTAATATGTATGTGAATGCTTTCACAGTTGGTAAAAGCCCTACAGTTGGTAGGGCTTGTGAACGACTGTTCAGAAAGCCTCTCCAGAAGTTTGAGAGCGAGAGAAAGAGGCTCAGTTTCTGCTTCTCAGAGTGATTTGCTTCAGGAATCTTTCCTCCTTTGCATGATGTTACTAAATTTCATTTCTTGCCAGACTCTCTTTCCTAGAGAAATGCTGCGGAATTTCCTCATTGCGCCAGTCTCCCAAGCTATTCTGGTGGATAGCTTTTGGTGGCTGTTTCTCCATTTATATCAGGTAGATACCAAGACAACATGATCATTGCTATTTCTAGCATTGCTTCTCAGTGTATTGCATTGTTTTCCTGCCAGGGGATAGTTTGACACGTGATTTTA